TGAATGATTTAGGTTGAGAGATTTTCTCTTTCAGTGGAAAACATGGTGTCAGAGCTGCTTCCAGATCCTAGCTCACAGAGGATCACGCTAGCCAGCGATCATTAAACAAAAGTCTTTATTGAGTTGCAGTTTCCATTCTCAAACTGCTGCGTGCAACTCTACGTCTCATGGTTAGACCGGCGAAGCTCCGTCTGAGTCTCCGCCCCTTGTACACCAACTTAATATCCTAGCCCTGCTCCACCTTTTCCGCCTGACTATTCTTCTCTGGGTCCCTCTGCCCCCTGGGGTCTCTTCTTTACGGGATTCCTCTGACGCTGACGCTGACGCTGACCCCCCTGACTCTTCTCCCTCCTTTCGGCGGGCTTTAGGACCTGGCTCCCTTTCCGGGCTGCCTACTGTGCCACCTTCCTGTGCATTTGAACTTGGCGCGCGCGCCCAACCTTCCACCTTCCGTCTGACCGTTTCTTCGCTCCCCGATGGAGGTGTGGCCACCCTGACTCGTGCCCTCCCCCTGCTGTGAGCTGCCAGCGCTTGATCGCTGGCTCCCTTCCTCTTCCCTGCTCTCTGGCGGTGACGCTGGTCCCGATTTCCAACTGCTCCCCTCTGAGTCCCCTCTGGCTCTATCTTTCCCTGGCCACTGGTGCTCCTTTCTGTGAATCTTCTGATTCACTGGAAAGACTCGGAGATCTCGGGTCGTCGTCATCACTCATCTTTTCTTCTGCCTCCTCCCCCTCGCTCTCTGTTTCCTCCCTTGCCCTTGCCTCTGCTCCTGAACCCCTGACACATGGGTTTATTTTGAATCTCTTGTTTGATGACTTTATTCTTATTTATTTGTGCATGTCACTTAAACACTTCCCTTTCTCACCCTTAATCTGGTCTTGTACATGCATAATCTTGAGGAACAACAAAATCCTTTGAGGAACAACAAAATATGGGATGGATGGATAGTTAGATAGGCAGACAGAAAGGCTGCAGGCACGTGATTTATTCTAGAATCCATGGAAACTGAGTACTTGTTTCTTTTTAATATATTTTTTATTTGATTTTCAGAAATAAAAAAGGGGGGGGGAAATGAGGGGAAAACTTACATCAAAAGATCATACAAATTCCACATGTTGAGATTACTCTGAATCTCTCGACTTCCCCCCATCCCATCCATGGATCCTCTTAATTCTATTTTCAACTCCATATCAATACTTCTCCAATTTTTCATCTTCCTAAGTTATCTATACTTTCTGTCACATTATAAGTGCATTTAAAATCCTGCTAATGTTTTGACCTGTTTGCAATTATTTTATATATACATTATAAACATTTCCCATTCTTTTTTAAATTTCTTGTCTTCTTGATCCCTGAGCTTCCCAGTTAATTTTGCCATTTTGGCGTAGTCCATCACCTTGATTTGCCATTCTTCTTTGGTCAGGATTGTTTCTTCCTTCCATCTCTGGGCTAGCAACATCCGAGCGGCCGTTGTAGCTTACATGAACAGTTTCTTCTGATCTCAGTACCTATAATTCCTAATAAAAAAGCTTCTGGTGTTTGTTTGTTTTTTAGCAAAGGTTAATTTAAACATTTTTTCATTTCATTATATATCATTTACCAGAATTTTTTTCTTACATTACAATTCCACCACATATGATAGAAGGTACCCTCTTTTCATTTGCATTTCCAGCATATATTGGTACTTGTTCTATTCATTTTTGCTAATTTCACTGGGGTTAAGTACCACCGGAGACTGAGTACTTGTTTCTATGTTGTCCACACAGTCAAGATCTATTGCATATTTTTGGTTGTCCCCCAAAAGTGCTTCTCGAGAAACTGTTTTCGTTCTGAAAATAAAAGCTCACTGCAGATTTATTCTGCATTACCCTGCAGTGTGTCCTTTGAAAAACAGGTGTAAGTGGCTGGAGACTTTCCATCGACGTTGTGGGTGAGTGTATACCAGGATCACAATAAGGGGGAACCTATTCAAGGAGAGTTTTCACACACTTATCAAGGGACCACAACTGCCCTTGTGGATGGCAGGATCAATATAGATGGAAAGAGGCATTTTAAGGATGAGCGGGAACAATTGCAGATTAAGGAAAAACTTCATTTTGTGCCAAAAACGGGTTCATGTGTACACAGCCATAGATACACAGATGCCCTGATCTAGGTTGGAATAAAGGTTATTGTTAGGTTGATCGAAAATTGATGAGGTACAGTTCCCTTTGCTTTAAAAAGCGTACGCAGATTGTTGATTCCTGACATTATTCTGGTTAAGTCTGAGGTATCCAAGTAACCACAGAAAATGTTCTCACACACTTAGGGTTTTTGTTTTTTGTTCAGTACTTTACCTGAAGGGTCAGCTTGAAGCCTTGCATAGAGATTGGTGATAAAAAAATAAAAATAAAGCTTCACCTGCTTCATGTTGATGTTGTCATGCTGATTTTTTATTTTATTTTTTTAAAGACACAGCAGCAGGGGCTGGAAAAAGGTGGCAACCTTTCTTCCAAGATGCTGAGACTTTTTTTTTTTAAAGGAAACAGTAACAACCATCAAATTGTGGGTGGGGTTTGTTTGTTTGTTTATTTAATTTTAAACCGGACCTACTTCAGCAACAACCGTCTCTGCAGAAATCAACAGTTGAGCCCCCTTTCTTACAGCACAGAAATAAACAGTGTCTTCGCCTAATGACAACAGCAAGTGCTGTTAAAAACAGGAGCATTGCTGGTAAAAAATGTTGGCAAACCTAGTCCTGAATCATAAGTAGTCAAAGATTAAGAAAAGCAGACAAGGGAGGAGGATGCTATATATTTTTTTATTTTTATTTTTCACAAAAGCACTTGCACAATGTCTCGCTCCATACGTTATCCTTGTGCTCCTGCTTTCTTAAAACACTCCGTTTTGTCAATGCAGGACCCAGTTCTTTCTCTCTGAGGAACTTGCCTCCCTTGATTTCCCAGATAGAGCCATAATGTCTTGGTGTTCATTAGGGAAATGTTGTTACTAGGACACACCAGTGCCTTCCATTGGTTCACTGGGATCCATTTTAAACCAATCAGAAGTCAGCGAGGCTCCACTCACTGCCATGCACACATAGCAACAAGCGGTTGCTCACCTTATCCATTTGATGCTTGCAACGCATCTATTACACTTTCTCTGGGTGCCCAAGACAGTGAATAAAGCTCCCTAATTTTTCCTTTTTTTTTTAAATGCATTGGGCAGGAGGACGTGTGGTTTATAAGCAGCCAGGGGCATGCATGCTTGTGCGTGTGTCTAGGTGAAGAGGAAATTGCTTCACATTCCATACCGTTCTCCAGTACCTTCAACTGGTAAAATGTGAAAAATAAAATCACTCTGCAAATGCTACATCAGTTTGCAGCCCCACATCCGCGCCTGGTCAAAATATAATAAATAGATGCAGTCGGTGGTTTCGAATTTGGGGAAGTGACTTGACTCGCAAATGTGGGCGGATGTTTCTTTAAACATCAGCAGAGAGCCCAGACAATCATCGTTTTATTTAAGGGAAGTCAGGGATGAATGGCTAGATCAGGAATGAGAACGGCTTTGAGAAAGAAGGCAGTTTGGACCTCATGTTCAGTTTCTGCATTTTGTTAAAGACTTACAAATGCTGAAGGAATCTCCTAGCACCATGACAGAAGAACAAGACTGGTGTAACCACTTCAGATTTGGTTTGTTCCCCCAAAAGATATTTTAGTGATTTCTCTATGGTCCCATATCATTCACAGCTATGCATGATAGACACAATTCAATTAAAAAACAAACCCCACAGTCTTGTATCTGGAGGCGGTTGGAGGATGGAGGGCGGCTAACAGATTGAGGTTGAATCCTGACACAACAGTGGTACCTCGGATTACAAACGCTTCAGGTTACAGACTCCACTAACCCAGAAATAGTACCTCGGGTTAAGAACTTTGCTTCAGGATGAGAACAGAAATCATGTGGTAGCGGCGCAGCAGCAGCGAGAGGCCCCATTAGCTAAAGTGGTACCTCAGATTAAGAACAGTTTCGGGTTAAGAACGGACCTCCAGAATGAATTAAGTTCTTAACCTGAGGTACCACTGTACTGTTTTTGGAGGACAGGAGACGGGCAGGTGTGGAGGAATCCCTGGTCCTGAATGGGGTAACTGTGCCCCTGAAGGACCAGGTGTGCATCCTGGGAGTCATTTTGGACTTGCAGCTGTCCATGGAGGCGCAGGTCAATTCTGTGTCCAGGGCAGCTATCTACCAGCTCCATCTGGTATGCAGGCTGAGACCCTACCTGCCCACAGACCATCTCGCCAGAGTGGTGCATGCTCTGGTTATCTCCTGCTTCGACTACTGCAATGCGCTCTATGTGGGGCTACCTTTGAAGGTAACCCGGAAACTACAACTAATCCAGAATGCAGCAGCTAGACTGGTGACTGGGAGCGGCCACTGAGACCACATAACACCAATCTTTAAAGACCTACATTGGCTCCCAGTACGTTTCCAAGCAGAATTCAAAGTGTTGGTGCCGACCTTTAAAGCCCTCAACGGCCTCGGTCCAGTATACCTGAAGGAGCATCTCCACCCCCATCGTTCTGCCCGGACACTGAGGTCCAGCTCCGAGGGCCTTCTGGCGGTTCCCTCATTGTCAGAAGTGAGGTTACAGGGAACCAGGCAGGGGGCCTTCTCGGTAGTGGTGCCTGCCCTGTGGAACACTCTCCTACCAGACGTCAAAGGAAAAAACAACTACCAGACTTTTAGAAGACATCTGAAGGCAGCCCTGTTTAGGGAAGCTTTTAATATCTGAAGGACTATTGCATTTTAATATTCTGTTGGGAGCCACCCAGAGTGGCTGGGGAAATCCAGCCCGATGGGCGGGGTATAAATAAATTGTTGTTGTTGTTGTCTGTTTATAGTCTTTCCTCCAAGGAGCTCAATCAAGTTATTATAGATTTATTATAGAATTGTAGAGTTGGAGAGGCGACCACAAGCATCATCTAGCCCAATCCCCTGCAATGGAAGAATATTTCCCCCCAATGTGGTGCTCAAACCCACAACCCTGGGTTTAAGAGACTCATGCTCTACCCACTGAGCTACACCAGCAGGTCCAAGTTACCATTTGTGGGTTTCCCACCCACCCACCCTTTTATCCTCACAACTCTGCGAAGTAGGTTAGGCTGAGAGATAGTATAAGGTCCAAGGTCATCTGGCGAGAAAGTGAATAGAGAAAAGTTTTTCTCCATCACAACTCTAGAGCTCATGGACATCCATCAAAAATCCACGTCGGAAGATTCAGGGCACATGAAATAAAGTGCTTCTTCACACAGCACATAGTTAAACTATGGAGCTCACTCCCACAAGAGTCAGGGATGGCCACTAACTTGGATGGCTTTGAAAGAGGATGAGACAGATTCATGAAGGGCATGGCTATCAATGGCTAGTAGCCATGATGACTATTGTTCTACCTCCACTGCGAATTGCAGGTGGGCAGGCTGGACTATATAAGCCACACATCCTCAAACTCGGCCCTCCAGGTGTTTTGGAACTACAATTCTCATCATCCCTGACCACTGGTCCTGTTAGCTAGGGAACATGGGAGCTGTAGTCCCATAATATCTGGAGGGCCAAGTTTGGGGATGCCTGAGATAAGCCATTGGCTTAATCCAGGAGGTCTCGTCTTCTTCTTCTTCTTTTTTAAAAAATGATATTTATTAAAAGTTTAAAAATTACAGAAGAAAAAAAGAAGTAACAATAAAGTAGAAAAAAAACCAATAACAAAACACATAAAACATATAAAAACCATACAATAGTACAGCAAAAAAAAACAGACAAAAAGAAACTAAAAAACACCTCCTCACACCTCCCTTTTTTTGTATTCTAGTTCAATTCACTATTTCAGCAAGTTCTTCCCATCTTTCTCAATTTTGATTCTATAGTTTTAACGATCTAACCTTAAATTTTTTCAATTTAACCCAATATCAATCAACTTTTACTTAATTCTTTGTTGCATTTCTACTAAAACCATGTTAATTCATTCCCGCATCCTTCTAACACTTATTAATTTTACAATGTTTCTGTAAGTATACTTTAAATTTTTTCCAATCTTCTTCCACCGACTCTTCTCCCTGGTCTCGAATTCTGCCAGTCATTTCCGCCAGTTCCATATAGTCCATCAACTTCATCTGCCATTCTTCCCTGGTAGGTAGATCTTGTGTCTTCCAGTATTTCGCAATGAGTATTCTTGCTGCTGTTGTAGCGTACATAAAGAAAGTTCTATCTTTCTTTGGCACCAATTGGCCGACCATGCCCAGGAGAAAGGCCTCTGGTTTCTTCAGGAAGGTATATTTATATACCTTTTCATTTCATTATAGATCATCTCCCAGAATGCCTTAATCTTTGGGCATGTCCACCAAAGGTGAAAGAATGTACCTTCAGTTTCATTACATTTCCAACATTTATTATCGGGCAAATGATAGATTTTTGCAAGCTTGACTGGTGTTATGTACCACCTATAAATCATTTTCATTAAATTCTCTTTTAAGGCATTGCATGCCGTAAACTTCATACCAGTGGTCCATAACTGTTCCCAGTCAGCCATCATAATGTTATGTCCAACATCTTGTGCCCATTTAATCATAGCAGATTTCACCATTTCATCTTGAGTATTCCATTTCAACAGCAAGTTATACATTCTTGACAAATTCTTAACTTTGGGGTCTAACAATTCTGTTTCCAACTTTGATTTTTCCATCTGGAAGCCAATTTTTTTATCCAAATTATACACCTCCATTATTTGATAATAATGGAGCCAATCTCGTACTCTATTTTTTAATTTTTCAAAACTCTGCAGTTTTAATCTGTCACCCTCTTGTTCCAAAATTTCCCAATACTTCAGCCATTTGGCCTCCATATTGAGTTTTTTCTGAGCCTTTGCTTCCATTGGTGACAACCATCTTGGGCAGGAGGTCTCGTCTTCTGTTCTTATGCTCCCCCAGGTCCTAGTCCAACTACCACACCTGCTCTTGAAAGGTGCACCTGGAAGACTAACATATTGATTATGGAATGTGCACCGGATTCTGTTGGACCAAAGCTGATGCCACAATAAACATGTTGGTTTTTAAGGTGCCACAAGACTGTTCTTTTTTGCTGAAGTAGACAAACATGCCGATTCCTCTGAGAACCGACGCAATTCAACGGGTTAGTCTAATCTTACAAGGAGTGTTCATAAAAACAAACCTCAGGTAAGGGTAGAAGGGCCTTTCAGTTTCAGTTATCACATTCCCATGTTTCCCGTCTTATATTCAGTTCTCCGCATTCTGCAGCAATTGAGCTTTTTTTTATATAAAATAACGCTCATGAAAATTCATCAGCATTTTAGTGAAAATTTCTCCTAATAAACACATTTTCATGTACAGTTTTGACTACATGGTGTTGCAAGCACTCTTCCCTAACATAACACGTTTTTGTTGCTATTTTCACTAACAGCTTCATTTTTATATACGTTGGTTGGAGAACTGTGCTGCAAAATTGGGATAAGTGCACATTTTGAAGGACGGCTATGTTTCACTTTGCATATCGCTTCGGAAAGTGAGAATGTGACAGATTCAGCTTTAAATGCAGAATGCATCAGATTTCTTCTCCATCCCTAACCTCACCTGTTAAGGGCAGTAGTGGTGGGGGAGGGGGTCTTTATTACTCCCCCAGCTTCACAACACCATTGATAGTTGCCAGTTAATTATTATTATTATTATTATTATTATTATTATTATTATTATTTATACCCCGCCCTCCCCAGCCAAGGCTGGGCTCAGGGCGGCTAACAAGCAATAATAAAAACAAGTTGAATGAATACAACTTAAAAACAAGATTAAAATACAACAATTGAAATATTGAAACATTAAAATATTAAAATGCAGCCTCATCACAGGAGGAGAAAGGAAAAGAAAAAGAAAGAGGGGGAGGGAATCAAATTGGCTCCAAGCCAAAGGCCAGGTGGAACAACTCTGTCTTACAGGCCCTGCGGAAAGAAATCAGATCCTGCAGGGCCCTGGTCTCATGGGGCAGAGCGTTCCACCAAGCCGGAGCCAGTGTTGAAAAGGCCCTGGCTCTGGTTGAAGCCAATCTAACTTCCCTACGGCCCGGGACAGCTATGGTGTTGCTATTTATGGACCTTGAGGCTCTCCGTGGGGTATACTGGGAGAGGCGGTCCCGTAGGTACGAGGGTCCTAGGCCGTGAAGGCCTTGTCAGTTACTGACAAGGGAGGGGGCAGGCACTCAGCATAGCACTTGGCAGCTGAAATGTTGGATTGGCTCCACACATGTTGAGAAGCTGTGAGATTCCTTTGGTGCCAGCCCACCAGACGCTACTGGTTGAGGGGTAAGATGGGGTTGCCCCCAGGGGGCAAGCATCATTGTTGTGCACACACCCCACGCCACACCTCCCCTTTGGGCATGTGTGAGAAGGAGCCTTATATGCATGCTGACATATTGGTAAGGACAATTCAGGATTTGCTGGATACATGTATGCTGGCACAAATGTAGGGCCTTTTCTCACACATTCTAAATGTGAACAAAGGAGGGAAATATTGCCCCCATGTATTTTGGCTGCCGGTGCGGGCACAGCCCGCAACAGCCCCATGACACTCTCATACATTCCTTGTATAGGGGATGCAGGTGGCACTGTGGTCTAGACCATGGGTAGGCAAACTAAGGCCCAGGGGCCGGATCTTGCCCAATCGCCTTCTAAATCTGGCCCGCAGACAGTCCAGGAATCAGCATGTTTTTACATGAGTAGAATGTGTGCTTTTGTTTAAAATGCATCTCTGGGTTATTTGTGGGGCATAGGAATTCATTCATTTTTTTCTTCTTCAAAATGTAGCCTGGCCCCCCACAAGGTCTGAGGGACAATGGACTGGCCCCCTGCTGAAAAAGTTTGCTGACTCCTGGTCTAGAGCTCTGAGCCTCTCGGGTTTGCCGATTGGAAGGTCGGTGGCTTTCTTCCTCCCGGCGGGGTCAGCTCCCGTTGCTCTGTTCCAGCTCCTGCCAACCTAGCAGTTCGAAAGCATGCCAGTGCAAGTAGATAAATAGGTACAGCTGTGGTGGGAAGGTAAACGCAGTTTCTGTGCACTCTGGCTTCCATCATGGTGTTCTGTTGCGCCAGAAGCGGTTTAGTCATGCTGGCCACATGACCTGGAAAGCTGTCTGTGGACAAACATCAGCTCCCTCGGCCTGAAAGCGAGATGAGCACCCAACCCCATAGTCACGTTTGACTGGACTTAACAGTCCAGGGGTCCTTTATCATTTACCTTTGACATTCATTGAACATGTGAGGGGATTTCTCTGAACCCTGCTACAGTAATTAAAAAAATATTTTGTCAGCCTTGGTGGAACAGCCAGCAAGGGCAGGCCTGCTGCTGGACAGAGCAAGGCAGCTTCTTCAGCAGAGGTAGATTTAGGGCGGCAGTACCAGTTCTGCTGCGCTGAGTGCCAAGCCTAGGGGGCGCTGCAGGGAATTGCAACTACGACATAGTGAACTGAGCAAAACAGAAGGCGAGAGGCGGGGGGGGCACATTTTTTGCCTCACAAGGGGCATTGCTGAAATTTGAATGTCCAAAGTCCGCCCCTGGCTTCAGACAGCAGACTTGAGAGCTGTAGCACTTGGGGTTGGGCTAGATGACCTTTGAGTTCCCTTTCAGCTCTCTAATTCTACCTGCTCCCTCCTCTTTATGTGTTTCTCTGCATGTGCTACCTTCCGAGAAGCTTCTTTCATCCCCACCCCACCCCACACTCACACAAAAAACCTTGCTTGAAAGAGTTCTCCAGCTGTTTCAAACTGTTAGCTCCCATTGAGACAGCATCAACCAGTCTTTCTGGGTCATTTCCCTGAGAAAAAGTATGGCCAGGCCATTATCCAGGAACAGTATATTTAAAGTAGCGGTGGATCACCTAGGATGTGAAGCCAGACCGCAAGGTTTCTCTGTCCTTTAGGTTTGATGAGGTTTGTTATCAGCACACACCCTTTGGGAATAGCACTTGGGAGGGCAAGAGGTGCTAGAAAGTTAAGCAAGATTACACAGGCAAAGATGGTGGTTGTGGGGATGAATGCGA